ATGTCTTATAACGTTGATACTCTCTTCTCTGTTTTGCATAGTTCTGATTGTTGATGCAGGTTATTGAAGGAGTTTTATCAATAAATAATTATACAAAGCATGCATGTTGTTTGATGTATTATATTTGGTGGTGTTATAAGAGGATAATCTTGAAGGTATGAATGAGGTCTTTTGATTCTTGTGGAACACCTACTTTGAATTATTTCTTGTGGATTGATAGTGGTTTTCTTTGAGGCGTGTGATGGTTATGATTGTGATAATGCTTAATGGTATCATATCCTTCATTGTTTATTTCAATAGCAAGATTGTGAATGACCAAATTTGGAAGTGGGTCAATAAGATTATCATCATTTTTGTTTGATTGGAAAGGATAGAAAATAACATCCAGAGAAATGAATATTTGATGAGTTTCAAGGTTGTATCATTTATATGCTTTCATGCTGGGGAGATAACCAATGAAAGCACACATATGAGCTCTAGATTGAAATTTGATTTTCTGAGCAGCAAGAGTGGAGGCGAAGTCTAAGCATCCAAAAATTTTAAAAGTGCCAAAAGTCTACTTCGGTATTATAGGAGTTTTGAAATAGATGAGATTCGATTGATTAAAAAAGTAGCTATAAGGATACATTCATTCAATAATTAATGGGAACATGTGATTGAAAATACAAAGCACAAGCAACAATTAATATACATTGATGCTTTCATTCAATCACGAAATTTTGTTGAGGTCTACCATCACGGGAGAATTGATGCAAAACAGCAATTTCATTAAAAAATTTTTTGAGATAGACCTAATTCTTTAGCATTATCGAATCTAAAAAGCTTGGTTTTTTTGTTGAATTGAGTTGCCATCAAATTAAAAAAGATTGGGATTATAAAAGTGGCGTTAGACTTGTGTTTGAGCATCACAATGAATTAAGCCAAAAGTATTTTTGGATATATGTTATGAGAAATAAAAGATAGAAGACGTTGTTTTGGTCCAATTTTACATATAAAGGAAGCCCAAAGCTATGATGCCAAGTTTGAATAGAAATGTTATTTACATGTGATGTGGCATATATGTAGGTTATGAATTAGTGTCAGCGATGTAGAGATAGATCCCCTATTCATTCCCCGTTGCCAATCATCTTCTTGTTATTGCAATCCTGGATGACAAAATGATCGTGAAAAAATGTAACAGTAAACATGTTACTTGTAAGGGCAATAAAAGATAATAAGTTGAACTTAAAATCTAGATCATAAAAAAGACAACATGCAAAATCAAATTAGAGTCGAGTCTAATGTCACCAGAAAAGGTCACTGGGATGGTCATGTGATTTGGCAATGTGATGGTGGAGCTTTTAGTGCATTTTATATTAGTAAGCAATTTGATGTTTGAGCATATATGTTTTGATGCTCGTGAGTCAATGACCCAATATTTATTAGAATAAATTTGAGAATTAAATAAGGAGGATGTAAACATACCTAGGGGTTTTTGCGAGTTGAGTAGAGTCGAGTAGTGGCCTTATCGAGCTCGGCTCGTCAGATATATAGTCGGCTCAAACTTGAGCTCTTCCCATAGTAAATAAGCTCGAGCTAGCTCATGAGCCTAGGCGGAAATTTTAAAATGTAGGTGGTATTTAAAAATATTTAAATTTAATAAATATGTTTAGTCTTGAACTTCTTTTGCAGAGATCTGATTAATGGTTTGTGTTGCCTCTTTAGAAGTGTTGAACCTTCAATTTTGATATCCAGGGGGATATCCATGCAATTTATAACATTTTTCTTTTGTGTGACCAATGTTGCAGAATGTACAAAATGATCGTTCCTTCTTAATTCCTTTGCTATAGGAAGGATCAAAGTGTGCGGCAGTAGGTTTCTTGTTGGCATAATTGCGGTTGTTTGCGGTTTTGACGGCAAATGCTTGACCATTTTCTCCATTATTTAAAGTATGAGAAGAATTTATGAGTGTGATGCTACGCTGATTTTCTTCTTGAGATGTTAACACAGAGACTTTATTGATAGGTGGGAGGGGATCCATTAAAAGGATTTTCCCTCTTATTTGAGTAAAAGATTTATTAAATCCCATAAGAAGTTTGATAATGAGAAATAATTTGTTTGATTCCCCCCAAGAACATACGCCGCAAGTGCAAATGGGTCTATAGCTGTGTAGTTCTTCCAAACTTGTTTTTAGGGTTTAGCGAGATAGACGCTAACAGAAACAGAGTTATGTTTTTATTTAAGGTTGATCAATTCCTGCCTTAATTGGAAGATTTTGGGACCATTTGTTTGCTTGCTGAAATCGATCATTAAGATCGTTCCAATTGTCGGAAGAGCTTTTCAAGAATATGATACTCTTTTGAAAATTCCTAGGATACTCAGAGATTGGAATCAGCTTATGTGGGCTTTATTAATGTGCCATCTATGTATGAATCATAATTTATTTTTAGCAGATAGAGAGAATACCATAGCCCGACTCCAAGATGCATAGCTGCCACTAGTGAGAACTTGTGAGACTAATGAAACACCATCACCATGCATGATTGTCAGAGGGGTGCAGGTAGTAGGGATCGTCCATTAAAGATCTTGCCACGGAGCGATCAACGACATTCTACTGGTAGTTCATGGCGGGGACATGGCTTCAGAAGCTTGGTCCACATAATCTTGGAATGGGACGATCTGAGATGAGATCTGAAATAGAGAATCTAGGGCTTCATGTAGATCTTGGTGCAGAATTCGAGAGAAAAAAAAATGTGACTGATCGGTTTGATCCGGACGCGGGATGATCCGGATGCTCGACGCGGGATCTGTGTGATCCAGCTGGATAAAGTTTGGACACGGTACAGCCGACGGACTATCCTCACAGCGATTAGCAGGTCCAAAAGGACCGTAATTAGCGGGTGGCGGAGGTAACAAAGACTGTTGTCTAATGACAGAGTTCAAAACGATCGTAGTTGTCGTGCGATGGATGTCGGAAAGATTGTTGTTTAGAGACGAAGGTTGGAAGGGTCGTAGCCTGCAAGCGAAGAAGGTTGGAAGGACCATAGCCGGCGGGCGATGGAGGTCACACGAGCGATGGAGGTCAGAGCAACCGTAGTAGTCGGGCGATGATGGCCAAATAGATTATAGTCAGTGGGCGTTGGTGGTATGAGGGTTGTAGTGGGTAGACGGCAGAGGTTGGGAGGATCATAGTTGACAAGCAACAATGGTCAGACTGATCATACTTGGCAGTCCGGCGGAAGAACAACAATGGTTGTCCACGAGAGGTGGTCCAATAGCAGTCAGCGACCGGGTGGAGGTTCACCCATCCCGTGCGGTGCTCCGACAATCGTCAGGCAGAAGTCCGACGATGGTCGGTGGCTGAGTGAAAGTCCGACGACAGTTGGGTGGAGGTTCGCCGATGGTGGAGTTGGGCAGTGATCCAATGATGGTCGAGAAGAAGTCCGGTGGAGGTCGGTAGCCGCGAGAGGTGGTCCAACGACTGTTGGGCGGAAGTCCGACGACGGTCGGCGGCCAGGTGAAAGTCTCGAAGCGGCTAGGTAGGGGTTCACTAGTGGTGGTGCTGAAGCTCTTGAAGCCTCGGAGTTCTCTCCGATTTTCAGCCAAAGGTCCCCTTCTTATTAGAGGTGTCAATTCGGGTCGACGGGTCGGATTCAGGTCGAACCTGAGTTAACTTGGATCTAAACGGTTCAACCTAAACCCGACCAATTTTTGAAAACGGGTCGTACATTTCAACCCATACCTAAACTGCGCAAGTTGCCGGGTTGACTCGACCTGACCCAGATTTAGCCAGTCTGCTGGACCGCGAGTGAGGGCAAAGTTGCGCACGACAACTAGCGGAGACTGTGGGACCGCGCAGCAGCAGGCAGAGTGTGCAGGACCGCGCGAGTGCTGGTGGAGTCCACAGGAGTTGGGATTGCGTGAGTGCGGGCTGAGTTGCTCAAGGCAACTAGCATAGTCTGAGGGACTACGCAAGTGCAGGCAAACTCGGGAGCACGCGACAGTGGGCTAAGTCCGTAGGACTTCGTGAGTGCGGGCAGAAATCCGGAATGAACTTGGCTTTTGGGTCATTGTCGGGTTGATTTAGGGTTTTTGAATCAACGCGAACCCGATCCGTTTTTGAAACGGGTCAAAAATCTAAACCTGAACTCGACCTGTTTGCTAATCGGTCAACTCGAACACAGATTTTTTCTAGTCGGGTCTAAGTCGGGTTTTGGGTTTTGTCAAAAATTGATACCCCTACTTCATATATATATTTATAGATTTTCATGAGTGGCACACCTCGTAAATATAGAAAAGATTCGGGGCACGTTCGAAGTGCTCCATCGGATGGCTCGTATTGATTCTCCCGATCATATAGAGATTTTCAACTGTTTAAGTGCCTTAATGATGTTGGAATTTAGCGATATTGTGCTCGTTGGATTCGTCTCGTCAAGCCGGTTGATTTGATTATAAGCATGACATATTTGGATATCATTTTGTCATCCAAATTTCAACTGTTTAAGTGCCTTAATGATGTTGGAATTTAGCGATGTTGGATTCGTCTCATCAAGCCGGTTGATTTGATTATAAGCATGACATATTTGGATATCATTTTGTCATCCAAATAATATTTTGAACCTTCCAAATGTGATTCGTGCCACCGATTTTAACCCATTTGGGCTCAGGTTGGACCGATTTTGGTATTGTTAGGTGCGACTCTTTGAGACGTACATTTTAATTATAAGTTTGCTGAAATTAGAATTTAGATGATCTCGAATTTAATTTTGAAAGTTAAGTTTCTAACTTGAATACGCCTCAAAATTTGTGTATGATCAAGAAGATTTTTGACGATGTATCAATAAATGTAAATAAAAATAAATAAATAAGTAAATATAAATATATATAATTTTTAAAATAAATATTTAACTGATACCTCTATAAATAAAAAAAATAAATTATATTGAAATATTTCTTTGATTTCCGCCCCATGAGAGGAAATGACCTTCGCGGAGTGGCCGGAGTATGGGGCATTACAGCGTGTCTTAAAAGTCCAAATTAACTGAAACTCAGGACTCTTCTCTCTATATATAACTCCTACCTTCCCGCATACCTTCTTATGTCTGCAACATCCATTTTACTCTCTCACTCTCTCTCTCAAAGCTCCTCAGTCCACGATAATTTCTTCCCCTTCTTACTTGCGAGCTCTCTTTCTGACATAGAGTTCTGACTGCATCCCATTCACAAAGTCTCTCTGCCGCCATGAAAGCAGTTGCTCCTTCTGAGAAAGATGTCGACAACAGTACTACCGAGTTAACGAAGGTATGCAGAACTGATCTGTCTCTCTTACTCTTTGAAATTAAATTCAGCTGCACAAGTCATTAGCTTTAATTAAGATGGGAATTCGGAACAAAAACCCCCCTTCTTTTGTTCTTTTTCTCCATTTCTGTTATGAATCAGTCTGATTCAATTTTTTATTTTCCTGAGATTTCTATTAACAAACAGAGGCAAGCTTTTTGTATAAAAGGTTGGGGAAGAGGGTTTCCTATTGATACGATCGTCAAAATAAAATTAATAGCATCAATTAATTTTTTTTTTAAATTTCATCACTGAAATACTTGGAAGTTGAAGAGTGAGCGAGTATTTGGAACAAAAAGAAAGTTTTTTTTTTTTTAAGAAAAAATTTCTAATCAACTTAGAAAAAATAAAAAATAAAAAGGCTGCATGCCAGTGGTTTCTAAGCTGCAATGTTTCTCGGATCCATTGAACTCAAAGATCTCCCTTTTCAGCACTATTCAAACTAGGACAAATTCTGGCCATTCATTTACTCAAAAATGTTCTGATTGAGATTTCAATTTCTTTATTCTCTCTGGCAAACACGTTTCACAATTGTGAAAGAATTCATTGCCCTTCAGATTATAATCACATGAAGTGATTATATCTATTTAATTTATATACAGATAAGGATTCAGTGAACCCAATGAATGCATAATTTGTTTGAGATTCAAAGTTTTGCTGGTTTTGTAAGATATTGATTGCTTAATAAATATGGACTATTATTTTAAGATTATAACATGCAAATGAAAGAATTGACAATTTATTTACTCCGAAGCGGAGACGTTGACTATTTGAGTTTTTACTTTAGTTTCAATGGAAAATAATTTATATATGGGTATCTGGCTCTCTTTATTTAATTTATTTTTTTTTTAATCAGCTAATTATCATGTTGTATATATCTTAAAATAAATATATAATGTATTCTATTCAAATTCAAATAAGGATCCCAATTGAACCCAACTCTTTTAATTTTTGAAAAGATTATTTCCCTATAACATCAACTTGCCTTAAAAGTTACTTAGAACTATGATCGATTGATGTCACTTGGTGGGCCTAGCAAATCCTGTCTTAAAAAAAAAAAAAAGAAAAAAAGGTCCAACAAATGAATTTTAGATGTTAATGCGCAGAATTACATCTCACTTTATTATTGCACGCGCTTATAAAAAATCTTATAGAAATTAATTTTTTCAGCCCGGCCTTAACTTGCTTACCTCCTGATAAGGCCAAAAATTTCAAAGAAGGTGGAGTTGGTTCGTCTGATCATCGATCATCATAGTGATAAATAATTACAAGGATTATAAATAAACACTTAAATCAGCTGATGATGCCTACTTTTAAATCTACATAAATAACAAATTAAGTTATCGCTAATTAATGTGTTTTTCTTAATATCGTAGTCCTTAATCATCATTAATCATGAATAAGGAAGGAGATAACTAATGGATTGAAGTTTGTCTTTTGCAAAGTCTGAGCAAGTCTCCCGGCATTTGAAATCTGACCCACACGCAAATGAGAAAGGCTTATCGCTAATATTATTATTATTAACAAGTGTGGGTGCCAGCTATGCTGTATTTTATATGTACCCAATTTTTCTACTTCTTCTACTGCGTTTTGTACTGTTAGGCAACCTATTATATACATATGGCTGAAGATTATTAATTAGGCTTTGTTGCCTGTAATATTTGGCAATAGTGCATCAATATTTTATTCGCCTCTAGAAGAATTTTTCGATGAATCAAAGCCATATATCTGTAATTTTTGTCTTAATTAATGCATGGTTTGAGCCCACCGATGCTTTCAAATAATAATAATAATAATAATAATAAAAGGAGCCAATACTTTCAACTGAGGCAATGTCAAAGTTGATTCTTTAATTATATAATAATACACTTATTCAAAGTCTAAAAAATCCACACTAACCAAAATTTCAAGATGTGAAATAAATCAATTTTCCATTCTATCCATCACTAAATTTTTTAACATGTTTGCATTAATCATGGTTTCAGTCTGATAGAGAAAGAGCTATTGATGATTGGCTTCCAATCACATCTTCAAGAAATGCAAAATGGTGGTACTCTGCCTTCCACAATGTCACGGCTATGGTTGGAGCTGGAGTGCTCAGCTTGCCTTATGCCATGTCTGAGCTTGGATGGTAAGCTAATATATATCTACTATACCGATCTGGTATAGTTCCTTATACATATATGTATGCATATATGCAGACTAATGATGGGTATTGTGTAATATGAATAGGGGTCCTGGGGTTGCAGTTTTAGTGCTGTCTTGGGTCATCACTCTATTCACATTATGGCAGATGGTTGAGATGCATGAGATGGTGCCTGGAAAAAGATTTGATAGATACCATGAGCTTGGTCAATATGCTTTTGGAGAAAAACTTGGATTATGGATAGTAGTTCCTCAGCAGCTCATTTGTGAAGTTGGTGTTTGTATTGTTTATATGGTAACTGGAGGCAAATCTCTCAAAAAATTTCATGATACTGTATGTCTTGATTGTAAGAACATCAAGCTTTCCTACTTCATCATGATTTTCGCCTCCGTTCACTTTGTCCTCTCCCAACTACCTAACTTCAACTCCATCTCTGGTGTCTCTCTTGCCGCTGCTGTTATGTCCCTAAGGTATGCACCCTTCAACCATATTGTTAGAAATATTGCACACAAATATTGATAAAAAAAAACTTATGACTTTTCAAACTTTGAAATATTGTAGAACTTAAGCCTGCTCATATCGATATCGGTCGTTGTGAGGGTTATTACATATGTTATAATCTTTTAAAATTGAGCATCAAAATCTTTTTTTTTCTAGTAAATACTTCACTTAGAGTAGTTAAACATCATCGATCAATCACTTGACAAAGAAATAATTATTGAATATAAATTAATGTTTGATGTTATTGCAGCTACTCCACCATTGCATGGGGAGCATCAGCTCACAAGGGGAAACAAGAAGGGGTTGAATATGGATACAAAGCTCACAGCACTGCTGGGACTGTATTCAACTTCTTCAGTGCATTAGGCGACGTGGCCTTTGCCTATGCAGGTCATAACGTGGTACTTGAAATCCAAGCAACCATTCCTTCTACTCCAGAAAAGCCTTCAAAGAAACCAATGTGGAAAGGTGTTGTTGTTGCCTATATCGTAGTGGCTCTCTGCTACTTCCCTGTAGCTCTAGTTGGATACTGGGCATTCGGCAACTCAGTTGAGGATAACATACTTCTCAGTCTAGTGAAACCTCGCTGGTTGATAGCCATGGCTAATATGTTTGTTGTTGTTCATGTCATTGGAAGCTATCAGGTGCATATGACTTTTTTTTTGTATTTTCTTTCTACAAAAATTTTCAAAGTTCATCTTATGATTTGAATAAACTTGGAAGCAGATTTATGCCATGCCTGTGTTCGACATGATCGAAACTGTGCTAGTTAAGAAACTCTTTTTCCCTCCAGGCCTTCCTCTTCGCTTGATTGCTCGAAGTGTTTATGTTGGTAATATTCAATTTCTCTCATAAAAGCAATAGTTTAAGCTTCATGAATCTGATTTCTGGCTTGTTTTTCATTAATCTTGCGACTATTGCAGCTGTCACAATGTTTATTGGTATAACCTTTCCTTTCTTCGGTGCCCTCCTTGGATTCTTCGGAGGCTTTGCTTTTTCCCCAACAACATACTTTGTAAGCCTTCAAATTAAACACTCGTTGTTGTAAATTAAAACAGTTTATAATTTAACTGCTAAAACTTTTGATATGCAGCTTCCCTGTGTCATGTGGCTTGCTATCTACAAGCCTAAGAAGTTCAGTTTGTCATGGATAATCAACTGGGTAAGTTTTAGAGTCCATTTGGGACTGTTCAGGTTGTTTGTAAGATTAAAATGTGAAAATATAGCGGGAATAAAAGAGTGTGTGTATATTACTGTGATATAATATATTTTTTGTTGTCAGAGAATAATCAGGTCTAACAATTTCTTTCTTATAGCATCCAATTTTTAATATATCTAATTATAAATAGCTTAACCTCACGATAGAGTATTTAGTTAAATATTTTTCCTCTTCTTTCTCGGGCAAAATCGAAAGCTGACTCCATTAATTTAATTTTATTGAAATAATTGTCTTGGTCTGCAGATTTGTATTATGCTGGGAGTTTTGTTGATGGTCTTCTCACCAATCGGAGGTTTAAGGCAGATCATACTCCAGGCAAAGACTTACAAGTTTTACTCTTAAGCTACTACAGATCAAAAAGTAACGAAAAGTCAATAAGATGAAGAAGATTTCTAGTCCACTACGTTGTTGTTCTACATTTTTCTGAAGTTTGTTTGCTTGCTTGATTGTGAATTGTCTTTCTTGATCAATGAAGAATGTTGGGATGCTTTGTTGGGAGAAGGATACTTAAAAAGATTATGGCTATCTTTGAATTGTTATCAACAAAAACTTTCTATTTATTGAAATTGTTGATTTTTTTTTTAATTATTTTTCAGAATTTGGGAGATGGAGATGTTTTATCAATTAAAAAAATGGTTATGCGTTCAAATGGTATTTAGAAGCTCGATCATAATATAGGTGAATAATAAAAATATTTTTAACTTTAACTTGGTGCGTGACAATCTTTCATTGTTTGGGGTTTACTTTTTCCATCATTCAAGTGATTGAAAATATGAGAATTTGACTTTAAATATATATATTCAAGTGTTTATGTGAAAAGGTTGGAGTAGCTCCAGGGACAAATAATATTAGAGAGAGTTGTGATCTTAACATATGTATTAGATCTGGCTTATATTAAGAAAGGTAGATATAGTCCTAAAAATAATTGGTTGGCAAGTATTAGAAATGATATTTTCTTATTAGATTTAAACAAGAATTTGACTTTAAACATGAAACAATGGAGAAAAAAGAATCATGTTGCCAACCCCACATAGTGGGATAAATGCTTGATGTTGTTGTTTATCCCATTAATATCTTACACATGGATGCTAAATATTTGAAGCAAACATATAGTGCAATGAATTTCCTTCGAAATATCTTCCTAATTGTTGTATTGTATGTCTATCAATGTCTTTGTTATTTGTACTCAATTAGCATATTTCACTATAATGCTATATTTTTAATTGAGACGTGATTAAATATAAATCATGTTCATGATAGTGGTCAACTAAATTACTGAGGATGACAAAAATACAAATAATATTGACAAAAAATGCTAAAAAAAATTTATTGCATGCGAGTTAGCATTTGATATATTTCCTTCAAGATATTAAACACCCACTTCACTATACTTCGTAATTAACTCGGTATGTTGACGATCAATTATCTCACGAGGAACAAATATCAAAGAGGGCAACCCCCATGTCATTCAATGAGATGATATTAATATCCTATTAATGTTATTAAGTAGCATATCCGTATTTGTATCTTAAAAGCATGTAAAAAGTGTAGCAAAAACTGATGGGGACATCAGAGCATGGAAAGTATATCAGAGGCGTGGCCGTCGATCTACGGCCACGATCGAGTCTATGTATTTCTGAGTCATTTCTTGTATTTGTTTTCTTTTATTATATTATGTAGCCTTTATTATTTATGTGTATTTGTTTTTCTGTTTTATCCTTTTCTTAAGGGAAGTCGTATGTAAGCCCTAGGGGCATTGTCATCATTTTATTTCTTGAGTCTTGTGTACGAGGCTATTTATAGCCCTCATGTTCTTCTTCTAAAGCTAATGAATGATTATAAAAAAAAAATTATGCTTGTTACCTTCTTATGAGAGCTTGAAGACTAAGGAGAAGGATCCATAGGAGAGGGAGAATCGTGCATCACCCACCAACCAAGAAGAGTCGGGTTCGTGGTCTTAATTTTCTATCTCTTTCCCTTTCTCCTCCCACCACTGCCGACCCTATCTTCCCCTTCCCCACCTGTAGTCCATGCTCCACCCGCACTCCCTCCCCCCCACCCCCCAATTTCCCTTTCAAATTATTTCCTAAATCCCCCACTTTCCTTATTTAAGTCAACTTATTTTTTGGAAATGATTTGAATTTGAAATAAATCAATTTTAGATATCAAATCTTTCATTTTCTCTTAATCCTATTTTAAGAAATGTTCTTATTTAATTCAATCAATCAAATTATGATGGATTCATTAATTAAAACATTAGCTTCAATTTTCAAATATTTTCTTTTCTCTTAATCCTATTTTAGGAAAGGTTCTTATGTAATTAAATCAATCAAATAATGATGGATTGATTAATTAAAGCCTTAAGTCTAAATACATTGCATCTGGACACATGCTGTAACATCAGTTTTGCTCCAGGTTCGTCCGGATAAAAATTGGATCGTCCGGGACGATCGGTACAGGCAGGAAAACAGTTCTGGCTGCATGGATCGTCTGGACGAAAATTTTCCAGAGGACCAGTCGCCGGGGACGTTCATGAAATTCGTCTGGACGAAATTTGTCCAGAGAAATTAACCCTCTTTCTTTGGAATTAAATCCAATTTCAGCCTAGCCTTACCCGCCCCCTCTCTTCCCCCCCTTAGGCTATTCAAATTCTTGCCAAGTCAAAGGACTTTGATTTCGAAAGTAATTTCAGCCTTCCCTCCTATTCTTCCAACTCCAAATCTTAAGCCTAATTACCAAAAACCTGACCCAATCTTGCCCAAACCTCTCCCTCTTGGCTGGCCACCTTCCTTGCTTTCTCTTACTTAAATTCTTAAAGAAAACCCCTTTTCTCTCAAAAGAAATCAACAAAGTTAGCAAAGAAGCATCTACGACAACACTTCAACACTTCAAGATCGATGCATGGCCGATCCAGATCTTGATTACGGTATCGCCTACGACGAACAGAGGTTTGTTTGCATCCTTCACTCGATTGTTTTCGACGTCAACCCGCTCATCAACAATACCGTCGAAGAGTACGTTGAGCGCATTTTGTACACCCTTGTCGAGGCCATTGAAAAACAACTTGACACCGTTCAGTGGAGGATTGCAACTCAACCGTTATAAGGGTTTACCCATATCTTTTTTCTCGTATTTTCAATGTCTAACTTGTTCTTGTGATTTGATAGATTCATGAAGATCTTATTCATCGAACTCTGCCGAGCTTAGCAATCGTAGGGATTAAGTGCACTTTATTTGCTTCTAATCTTATTATTAGATTAGGGTTGTTGTTGAAATTTACTTACTTAGCATGTTGTTGAATTTCTATGTTATTTTGAGTTTCCAAGTGTTTAGCAAGTGGCTTGGCCTAAGCGTAGGCACAATTCTTTTGTTTTAATTGCTAATGGTTTCATCTTTATTGTTCTAAACAAAGAATCGTGCAATATTCTTATTTCATCCATTTAAAAGCATTTAGTCCTACATAAAAAACTCTCATTTTTGACAACTTAACTAAGCACTCTCATATTTAACTAGTGACCCATCTATTTAAATAGTTTTATAGACAAATTAGAGATCAAAAGAGACGATTGTCATAACATTTTAGGATCTATATCATTTTAAACCAAGGGACTTATTTTAAACTTGTCTCTAACCATAATAGGTGCATGTGTGCCTTCTATTACCACCATAATACCCTAATAGAAGAAGCAATACAATTTAATTAACAATATTTCATATTTGTGTAGATATCTTTCTAAATATTGATTTTTCTTGAAAAATATCTCAAAATATGAGTGAGATTAAGTGTCACTCTGTTTTTTTTTTATATGAGTAATATTCTATGTTATTTGGGGGAACTATATACGATCATCTACAAATGAAATAAGCCATTCAACAAATAGCTAAAATATCATTTCATAGTTTCCTAATAGCGATAAAAAGATCACATGACTAAGAAATTAGGCGTATGTGCAACCCCTAACTAAAGTCCATGAATATTTAATAATAAGCATATTTTTTATGTTTTTAAGCTACTCATGCCTAACTAACATATCTCTAATCTAAAGACATGCTTTTCGTGGAAGGTTGCATAAATTAAAAGACTATATCAGATGACCAACCCATATGCTTGTAGTATGTTACTAGTGATAGGTTTGTTATACGCTAGTCTAGGTAGTTTCTTTTGTTTGGTTGACAAAACATCAACTTGAATTACGTAAGTGATTATAATATTGATGCATGCATCATGTACATAAATTTTCTTAATCATGAATGGTCATAGGGATAATGGATATATTTGGAGATGGATCGAGTTATACAAAATTTAATAAGTATAAAATATATAAATATTTTAGCATTAAGTTGATAACTAACATATCATCTTATCGTATATATGTTGTACGGGATACAAGAGTTTTAACCCTAAACAACCAAAGCAACATTTCTCTAATTAACATATTCTACAACAAAGCATACATAACAACCATTCAAAAATAATGCCTCATCACTTGTATCTCTAGGTTTGTTTTACACTAGTCTAGGTAGTTTCTTTTCTTTGGTTGACAAAACATCAACTTGAATTACGTAAGTGATTATAATATTGATGATTGCATCATGTACATAAATTTTCTTAATCATGAATGGTCATAGGGATAATTGGATATGTTTGGAGATGGATCGAGTTATACAAAATTTAATAAGTATAAAATATATAAATATTTTAGCATTAAGTTGATAACTAACATATCATCTTATCGTATATATGTTGTACGGGATACAAGAGTTTTAACCCTAAACAACCAAAGCAACATTTCTCTAATTAACATATTCTACAACAAAGCATACATAACAACCATTCAAAAATAATGCCTCATCACTTGTATCTCTAACCACACAAAAATATTCTCTTTATGTGCATCTAACTAGAATAAATTGAAATGTATTCTTTATGAATCTTAGCCTTACAACCATGATAATATGAAATTTTATTTAGATCGAAATGAGTGAATTTTGTAACAATATAAAAATTTCGACTTCGATTTATCTTAATATGATTTTGAGTCATAAAAGACTTGAATCAAATTGTTTAATAAAGTGTTAATGAAAACAAGTTGAGTGGATCAAAATTTAATCAGAATTAATTTAAACTTTCTTTAATATTATATACTTAACAAATTCTAAGATTTTGAAAATTTCAGTATCAAATTTTCATCATGAACTAAATTTACTCTTATATTCATACATTAGACAATAGAAAGAAAATATGATTAGTTTTGCAATATATATTAGTAATAATTGTTATGTGGTCCACATCTCCTTACTTATTGTGCGAACCACATGCCTATAATACTTTAATTTTTCTTGTTTTAACCATTGGATTTTGAATGAAGGGCTCTGATTGATATTTGGTACGAAGGAAATATGGATGGCCAACGTCCAACCTAAATCCCCAAATTCGAGAGTGCATACTCGTCCACGCTGCCGCAATAGATGGTCGCTGTCCTCTACATCTGGAATCGCCCGCTTCTCGCCTCACAGCGCCCCATTTCCTCTCTTCTGTAACCTAACTCTACTCTCTCCTTTCTCAAAGGTAGTTTGGTTCTGGGTTTACTCTGAGACTTTATTGTTGCGCGTGCTTATTATTACTATTTTTTTATGTTGGGATTCAGGGTGAGGGAGTGAAGTTTCCGGACAGTTGATTGAATGAAAGATTGAAGCTTTAGAAAACCTTGCTGGCAAGGTGTGCATTTGCATTTGAAATCTCTATCATTTAGTAGGTTATATTAGCAGGACACTGTGAGAGGCTGGTTCTCGCCCCAAAAAGAAAAGAGCGATTCTAGTTTCTTGAGCAAGAATTTTTATTTTTCTCGAATTTTTGCATCCTTGAAGTTAGATTAGTTTATTTGAAGTGTCTGGTAGCCTTTTGCGATGGCTATATTTCCTTTTAATGGTCTTCATCGGCTGCTGATACTATTTTTTTATTAGTAAACTTCTCTTGATAGTTTCTTCAAACTTTTTAACATTAATATGTATGGCGTTGCTTATTCTGATAGCATGCATACTTTTGTGATGAAGAATATACAAACACTTTGAGTTGGCTTGAAATCAAAATAACCCATATTGAAGTCGAGCCGCTTTATATCGAATATGTTTGTTCCATTATTTGATTCAGAGCTAACTGCCGATTTTGAGCTGATTTTTGATTGACTTTAAATCGGCTTATTCACAGCTGTCAATTAATAAACAATTTTGGCTTCTACTTTTATGCTGTTGAAGCAGGTCATCACAACTTCAACGGAGTATGTTGTTTCAAGCAGGCGATCCAAACCAGAAATAATGTCAGTTCATATTTCGTTTTTTGGATTCCCATCAGGTATGCTCCCGTACAGAAAATTGCTCCAATCATTAGTCCACTTTAGGCTTCTTATGGGGCCCTTTATGCTTACTAGTTGATGCTCCAGGCTACCTGCTACAGCCAACCCGCCCTAATGATTTCCCTCCAAAAAATATCTCCATATCTATCCTTATCTCATTCTATATCAGATTAATCATATGATTTTCTAAAAAATCAGCAGTTTAAATGGTAAGCATTGCATAATAATATGGAAAAAGCTACATTATATGAAATCACGAAATATATTCACTCACCTCAATCAACTATTAAGAATGAATTCACATCAGACTATATTGTTAGGGCACAACATACACAACCAATATATCTGAAATAAGGTGAGGGGAAACTAAGAATATGAACAAGTTTTATCACGGCTTGAAAAGTAATGTTTAAAGGACAATCGAATAGAATTACTTCTTTGATAATTGATATTTGTGGAATGCTGAGCGCTTCTATGTACATTGCTTACCATTGCCATGAACTTTCTTGAGAAGAGAGAGAGATGGTTACCATGGCCATGAGTGTTGAATTACTTAGAGAAGTGGGGTTAATGATATTTTAAATATTAGTCGATTCACTCTTTCAATTTTGTCTTTGCTTCGAATGTTGAATTACTTAGAGAAGTGGAGTTAATTTTTTTGAAATATTAATCGATTCATTCTTTCAATTTTTCTTTGCTTCGAATGTTGAATTACATAGAGAAGTGGAGTTAATATTTTTTGAAATATTAGTCGATTCACTCTTTCAAATTTTCTTAGCTTGCATATTCAACCATTTTGAGTGTTATTGAATTTTTTAAGAAAATAATAGAATCTGGCTTATATATGTATAAAGATATATCATAATCAAGTGACCAATATGTGTTTTTGCTTAGGCTTTCGAATTACAACAGGGAGTGTCATATTTTTTTGGTTGGGGTGCATTATTACTGGTATGCTCAATAAAAAAATGATTGTGAGTTATGTTTAATTGTAGGTTTATTTTGGAGAGTATATGTTTTCTCTCGGCGCAATTACTGTTAAAGATTTCTCAATGAAATAGGGGCAAAATTCTCAAATGATCTACAATGAGATGGAAATTGTGAAGATAAAATTTTCATTTGGTATATTATAAAATGTCTTCCTAATTTCAAAATAATTTTTCATAAAAAATGCAATCAAGACCTCATCCTCTTCAACAAAAAAGGCCTTCGTAGTAATTTTTTTTATTGCTTTAGTTTAAATGCAGGTTTTTTTGGGAAGCATAACATCATCTCTCCACTCACCAATACCCTCATACATTTCTTAATGAAAAAGCAACAAAATTCTCAACAGGCCCACAGAGGTAGAAACCGTGAATATAAAATTTTCTTATTTGGTATATCATATAAAAACGTCTTCCATATCCAAAATAATTCCTAATAAAAAAAATGCATTCCAAATCTCATGTTCAGCAATGTTAAGGCAACTGACACGTCACCCGGTATAGTACCGAGTCCAGAACTTTCCATACTCATGTCTAGCTTATGTTTCTATATATACATGTATACTCTGTAATAATAAAGGTCATGCAATACAATAGTTTCCTATTCTCCTTTTCTCTCTGTCTCACATTCTTTCCTCTTCTGTTCCGATTTTCTCTGTTCTGTATCAGCCAATTCACATGGTATCAGAGCTAAAAAGCTCCACAACGTTTTCTTGATCTTCATGGCCGAAGAAGACTTAGCCGGCTCCCGCCAGACTACATCGATGATCTCCAACAAAGAAACAGATCTTCATATCCAACCCCATCTCAAATTCTTGATATCTAATATCAAGAATCTGGTTCCCACCACGCTTACAACTGAGAACTACTCGATCTGGAGGCTCCAATTGTTTCAGCACTTCTCCGCGAACGGCTACGATGAGCATCTCACCAGTCAGGTCGTATGCCCGCCGTAATCAGAAGAATCCGAGCGAAATAGCTGGACGCTCATAGATCGCAATCTTGTTTCCGCACTACTCTCCACGATTTCCCCATCCATTCTTCCGTATGTGATCACGCTTCGCACCTCTCACGATGTCTGGACACTAGAGCGTCGACTTCAACCCACAAATCGATCCCAGGTTATACAGCTCAAGAACGAGCTCCATCAAATGCAGATGAAAGATCGAACAATGCAACAATATCTTGATCAAATCAAGACAATCGTGGACAACATCACAGCGGCAGGATCTACCGTTGACACAGAGGATATAGTTCTTTACATCCTCAACGGGCTGCCAACGGCATACAACTCCTTCAAGACGTCAATTAGAACCTCCCTTCAACCTATAAATCTTGACGACTTATACTCTCTGCTAAGCAGCGAAGAAATAAATCTTCACCATCAACAGATGCAAGAAAGCCAACACTCCAATTCTATGGCTTTGTTCACCAACCGATCCGCAAACTACAGAGGGAAATCAAATAAATCCCACGGTCGATCCAGCTACCGCCAGTCGTCTGCGGAGCGACAATCTCCCGTAGACTCTCAAGCTTCAACAAGAAACCAATACCCACGACCTCTGTCAAATTTGCGAAAAATCCGGTCACTTCGCGATCAACTGTTGGCATCAGTGCAACTTAAGCTATGCACCTCCGACCAACCCGCTGGCCCTTACGGTGCAACAACAACACGCCGCAACTAACGACTGGATCTTGGATTTGGGAGCTTCCTCTCACCTCACTACAGATGCAACTAATCTTCAGCAATCAACCCCATACAATGGCTTCGATTCGGTCTCCATTGCCAACGGAAGCAACTCTCTATCCAGAACTTGGGCCAAGGACTCCTACCTTTACCCGAGTCCAACAGTAAGCTCAACCTGAAAAAGATTTTACACGTTCCGTCAATTTCTCACAATCTTTTATCTGTCTCTCGTTTAACCTCTAACAACAACATTTCAATCTCTTTCACCGCTAATGAATTTGTCATTAAGAATCTTCAGGACAATCAAGTGCTTCTCCGAGGTCCAATACGCAATGACCTGTACCACATCAAGGCTCCTTCCAACCATAAAGAAGCCGCTCTCACCACGGTCCGAACGCCCAAGATTTCCTGGCATGCGCGTCTCGGCCACCCTCACACTCGCAAGCTGCAAATTCTGGCTAAACACATCTCGGAAATTTCTTTAGGCCCTTCTACTAATGTTTGCATTTCTTGTAACGTTTCTAGAAGTCATAAACATTCTTTTCCTCGCAGTAGTTCTGTTTGTAACAAACCGTTTCAGCTCGTCCATTCGGACGTCTGGGGTCCGACCCCCTCTTTCTCTTTTAACGGGTTTAGGTTTTATGTCATTTTCATAGATGACTACACGAGATTTACATGGCTATACTTAATCCACACCAAGGATGAAGTTTTTACTAAAATTCAACATTTCTGTGCTCTTGTTAATAATAAATTCAATACCAGAATTCAAACATTTCGGACAGATGGCGGAGGCGAATTCACCAGCCATGCCTTCCGCACTTACCTGGTATCACTCATTAAACCAGCTGCTCGCATACTCCTGAATAGAACGACACTGCAGAAAGGAAGCATCGACACATTATTGATCTTACCCGCACTCTGCTTCACGCGACAAACCTCCCGAACGCATTTTGGGCCGAAGTCGTGTCTACGGCGAACTACCTCATTAACTGGCTTCCGTCCTCAGCCATTCAAGATGAAACTCCCTATTCCCGCCTTCACGGCACCCCGGCATCCTACAACCATCTGCGCACGTTCGGGTGTCTATGCTTTCCCTAGACGAAACCTTACGCGACTACCAAACTCTCACCCTGTTCTCAGGAATGTATCTTCCTAGGATACTCCACTCAGCACAAAGGTTATCGTTGCTTCAACGTTAATCAATGACGGCTACATATCTCGAGGCATGTGGTCTTCCACGAACACATTTTTCCGTACTCTAACACAATTTCAAATCAACCCAATATGCTACCGTCCAAGTATTACTCTCCTCTTCTTCTGGTCCCATCGTCCACAATATCGTCTAGTAATAACTCGTCCACGGCCACCAAACATTCGAATCAGGCTATCCACTCGACCAACTCCAATGATCAACATTTATCCATCCTTCCGGTCTCTGCTGATACTACCCACTGCGGATCGTCTCAAACTCTTCCTACTCGACATCACATATAGACTCGCCTTCGGTCTGGCATCTCAAAGCCAAAACAAATTTTCACGCTATCCGCTACCTCTTATGAGCAGTCCACCCCACCCCCACTTCCTACATCGAAGCCGTGAAACATGCTAACTGGCGCTCGACAATGTCCTCCGAATTCTTAGCCCTGCAAACTCAAGGAACCTGGACACTAGTACCAGCTCCGGTTGACAAGCCCATACTTGGCAGTAAATGGACGTTCAAGAAAAAGCTCAACCCCGACGGACAAGTTGCCACCTACAAAGCTCGACTTGTGGCACAAGGTTGCTCTCAAGAATTTGGCATAAATTTCGCCAAGACATTTAATCTCGTCGCAAAATGGTAACTATTCGAATGCTCCTAACGGTAGCCTTAACCCAAAATTGGTCAATCACCCAGCTGGATGTCTCGAACGCCTTTCTTCACGGAGACCTGCACGACGAGGTCTACATGAAACAACCGCGGGGCTTTGAAGACACTCAACATCCGCCATGGTTTAAAATTGCGCAATATGAGGCTCGCCTTGAGGTCCGCCTTTATGCAATTCCAGTAAAAAACGCCTCGATGCTTACGCCTCTGGTTTTTTTAACGAGGCTTGTGCCTCAACTTGGTTGAGGCCCGCCTCGCCTCACTGGCATGAGGCTTACGCCTCACGCTATATATATATATTAAAACTTACATAAATCTTGAAGTAAATGCTCGACATTAGACTCTATAGGAGAGGAGGAAGGGGAGAGAGCATCTCATTATAATGATGTTTCAAATGAAGAACCCCTTAGTGATGACAGTGCTGATGACTTATGAGTTCTTATGTGATATATCATTGCTATTTATTTTTGGAAATTTGAATTATATGTTAATGAAAAGAATACCGGGATTTGGGAAAGATAGAATTTTGAGTTGAACTATATTTTATGTTGTCTTATTATTAGGATATTTTGATTTCACTTCATATCTTATGCTTTTTTATGTTTTATATTATTCACTCATTAGTATATAAAAAATTTATCATTTTATGTTTACGCAATCTTTTGATTTTGAGGCTTACGCCTCAAAACGCCTTGAGGCTTACGTCTCGCCTCACGAATGAAAAACACCTCAATACCTGAATACGCAATTTTAAACATTGACATCCGCAGCACGTTTGTAGACTTCGGAAATCCATTTATGGTCTTAAACAGTCTCCGAGGAAGTGGTTTCAAAAGCTAACTAAGTTATCAGAATTTTGGGTTTCAATTCAGCTCGGCGGACCCGTCCCTTCTTCTATTCAAACAAAAAGACATAAGGCTGTTTATCCTTATATACGTTGACGACATCTTGATCACCGGAAATAATACCGTCAAACTGAACAAAACACTACAGCATCTTCGCTCGGAATTCAGCCTCAAACAGCTAGGCGACATCTCCCTGTACCTAGGAATTCAGGTTATCAAAAATACCTAAGGCTATTTTTTGACTCAATCACACTACGCACAAAATCTTCTTAACAATGTTAGTTTTGTCGACTGTAAGCCCTTGGCGTCTCCAGCTCCAACTCGATTGCCCAAAAGCCCAGACAACCAACCATATTCCAACCCTCAACTATATTGCAAGCTAGCAGGCTCCCTTCAATACTTATCAATCACATGTCCGGACATAGCATTCACAACAAATGCTATCTGCCAACAGATGTATCATCCTCGCAACAACGACTATCAAGCTCTCAAACGCCTGTTAAGGTACCTCAAGGGAACACTCGACTTCGGCCTTCCGATCAAAACCGGCGCACTCAACCTCCCCTGCTACACGGACGCTGACTCGGCCGCCAATCCCACCGATCGCAAATCCATTTCAGGATTCTGCACCTTCCTCGGCCCAAACTTAATTTCATGGTCCGTCAAAAAGCAAAATACAGTGACAAGATCATCGACAGAGGCGGAGTACAGATCCCTATCCTCGGCAATGTCGGACGTTCTGTGGATTCGTCGTCTCGCTGCCGATCTCAGCATTCATCCGACAACACCTACAATTATACATTGCGACAACACCTCTTCCATTGCACTCGCCAACAACCCGGTCTTTCACGAAGGACCAAACACATAGAAATCGACTATCACTTTATCAGCAGTCACATTCAACAGGGCAACATTAGCATCGCTCACATATGCTCCAAAGATCAAATCGCAGATATTCTTACAAAACCTCTTCCGATCAACCGGTTTCTAGACCTAAGATCCAAATTAACCATTCGCTTACCTAATGATCAATTTGAGGGGGACTGTTCAGGCAACTGACACGTCACCCGGTATAGTACCGGGTCCAGAACTTTCCATACTCATGTCTAGCTTATGTTTCTATATATACATGTATACTCTGTAATAATAAAGGTCATGCAATACAATAGTTTCCTATTCTCCTTTTCTCTGTCTCGCATTCTTTCCTCTTCTGTTCCGATTTTCTCTGTTCTGTATCAGCCAATTCACAAGCAAAACATACATTAGAAGGATTTTTGCAAGAATGAGATAAAAATCCCACTTTTATAAATAATTTTATAGGGAAAGTTATAGATCACTAACATCATGGAGAAACAAAACAAACCAACATTTGTTTTCATAGTGCAATGACAGGATTATTGGGCGCATGGAATATTTGGAACGCACAATTCATGATTCTCCTAAAAAAAGGAACGATTTATTAAGAGGCATTAACCATCACTATTGCAAGAGATGGACATCGATGAATAGGAAACTAGAAGGAAAAGAGACAGTCATAGCAACATGTGATCCAAGAAACTCTCCGAATTGCCAAACTAACTCTAGAAGGGTAAGAGTGCAATTCTAAAGGCGGGATCAAATTACAATGGGCAACATTTAAACCCGTGGGGTAAGGCTGTTTGTAATGATAATATGTATCCAAGCAAATGCTCCATTTTGGAAGCTATATTTGCTATCATTATGCATATAATTTGTATAAGGCTGATGGAATGATGATATGTATGAGAGTTATGAAAAGTTATTTTCCTTATGTAATGGCTTATTTGATAGTTTATGTTTCCTTTAGGGTTTACGAATGTGCTGCCTCATTACATCTTTTTTGTCTCTGGCCTCCTCCTCTTTCTCTCTGATTATTAATCTAATTGAATGCCCATTTCAAATATTGGTATTCCCTGTGGGAATTGGGTTTGTCAATTAAAACTCTGTTCTATATGTATTATATTTGATGTGAAAATTATCTAAAATGGTTTATAGTTAGGCTGCTGGTTTTTAAATAAACGAATACATATTAAAAACCTTTCTGTAGTACAATCTAATCCCTTCTCTTCCCTGTCCTACCTATCTTTGTTTTGTGATTCTCTTTTCATGATCACTCTCTGCTTGACTATCTGTACCAATGCTATTGTACTTCTAGTTGCTATCTACCAACCCCTCCCCCTTTCTGTTTCAGCAGCTCACAAATTAATGCTGGTTGTTAAGCATCATCCCTTCGCTATTTGCTGACAACAGAAAATTAGGTGATTTGAGAACCATTCATATAACATTGATTTTGGAATTCTGTTTTATTTTTTGACATGTAATCTTAGAATCCAAATCAATACCAAGCTTGGGGATAGTATATTTTACTTTTAGAATAGGTGATGCAGTATTAGTAAAATATCATAAAAAAGATTATTGAATATGTTTGAACTGACGTGATATTTGCCTAGCTGACCTGATGCTTGCCTCATGCCCAGTTACTCGATCTGTTGAATTTATGAACTGGCTTTGATCCTGTGGTAAATCAGTATTATTTTAGAAAATATAAATATCATGAAGAAGTCAGAATAAATTCCTAACTATGTAGTACATTGGTTTGTATGTTTGGCCTTACTAAGAATTTTATCATTATATCATCAATTCATAACTATGTACTCGAGAAAATTCATTATTTATTAAATATATGGGTATTTACTCATTGTTTTATTATAAATTTGATCAAAATATTTGAAGTACATAAAAAATGTATTCAAGAGATAGCCCAAAAAATGTGGAGTATATAAGGTTGTACTTCTAGCCTTGTTGAGAAATTTTCTACCGCATTACATGTGCATAGATATGTGCTTAAGAAAACCTCTGAAACCTAAAATCCAAGCCCTACCATGTTGGCCTAAAGTTGAGACTAATAAAAAAACTTTCATGGAGAATACATAAATATAATTTTTCTTGATTTTTTTTTTTGCATGGTAGCTTGCGTTAGCCAAGTTTCCTAGCAGTTCTTCCAAGAATTTGTTGAGTTTTATAGTTTTTATTTTTTCCTGATTTATATGTAGTTTTCCTGCACGTGTCTTTTGAATCTTCCATTTTTATTACCATCGCCATAATTTACCTAATGGTCTTGATGTAGAATGCATCTTTCGTGATCTCTATGCTTCAAGTGATGTGATGGCAAAATATTATATTTTACTGCATGGTTTCTGATTGGAAGTTCCTTTATTGCCCAGGGGTAATCGGAAAGACTTCAATATCATTTTCTCCAAACAATAGAAGGCACGAACTCTTTCTAGGTGCTGATGATGTATCATTGAGCACATCTATTTCTCGTTATCCTACAGTTGTGTCCATGTGTAAGGCTAGTTCAAACAAAAGAAACCCTGATTTTTCTAGAAAGTATAGAGGATCTTCAAAAGGTAAGAGGCAAAGCCAAGAAAAAGAAAACGCTGAGAACCTGGAGGATAATCTTCTTTCTTCTAAAAATGGGTCTCTGGTTTCCCTTTCCAATAACCAAAGGTTTTCTGCTACTGCCACTCCTGGGAGAAGGGAGAAGGAAATTGTTGAGCTATTTAGAAAGGTTCAGTCACAACTAAGAGAGCGAGCAGCTATTAAGGAAGAGAAGAGGGTTGAATCCGCACAGCTTGGTCAGGGAGAGAGGGGAACCGTAGATTCTCTTCTGAAATTATTGAGGAAACACTCGGCAGCTCAAGGGAAGAAGAGCAGCAGTGATGATGGCTATGATCTTGATCAGCCTGAGAGGACCAATCCATTTGATGAACCAGAGAGAAGTGACTTATTTGAAGAGGAACAAAATTCTAGCTTCTTTGGATCTGATAATCTAGGTACTACCCAGGATGTGGTTCATGAGCAGAAACCCTTTCCTTCAAGTAGGCCCATTTCAAGCTTTAAACGCAAATCTCCTGTACCGAAGGTGAAGTTTCAGCCTGTGTTCTCGGCTGAGGAAGAAGGTGGCAGTTCCAGTCCCGCCTTGAAGTCAGTAGGGATGACAGGTGTTGCCTCTGAAACCAAGTTGGACCCTCAACCTCGGCATCTATTTGAGCTTGAAGATGAGTCTTCAATGAAGCTTGGATCTTTAGATGCCAAGAGTGAAGTGAGCTTAGGTAGATCCGACTCTGCCGATTTGGATGAAACGGATCCGGGGGTTTCAGAACCGTCCATGGTACAGGGCTTTGATTTGAGCTCCATGAAACTCTCTGAATTGAGGGGCCTTGCAAAATCTAGAGGCATCAAGGGTTATACCAAGCTGAAGAAAATGGAGCTCTTGGAATTGTTGAGGTTGAACAATGCTTGAACTTATTGCAATGCATTCATTATATGGATCTTTCATGCTAATTTTTTTTTTTAATGTTTATTTATTGTGTTATCGACCTATGTTGTTATGAAGCTCCATGTTCTGTAATTGCCAGTTGACATTTGCCATTCGCCATTAAAAAAGAAAAACAACCCAACAGAAATCAATTTGGCTTAACCTAGCAAGGCCTTTCAGCTTGCTTTTTTATCATTAGCAAGGTTGTCGAGAAATTTGTTTAAAATTCATTTTAGATGAAAAACCAAATAATATTATCATCTTCAAAACTATATTTTCTTTTATTAAAATAAAAATCACTCAAGTTAAGGATTTAAGCTTTTTATAAAAATGACTGTAAAATTATTATAAGGAAAATAATTTTTTTTTTGAAATTTATAAATAATAATATTTTTTAGAAAATATGGTTGTGATTTCAAAAGTAAATAAAGAAAAAATTATTCCAAATAGATCTTAAATATTATTTGCTTTGCAGGCTGAAAAATCTTATTCGTATCATATTGATGTGATTCAATATAAGTCTATCAAAGGCAACCGCAGCTAATCTGGAAACACCTCATAAAACTTAGGTAGCCAAGGCTGTAGATATGGATTCAATTAATATACTTTACTATTGCATCTCTATAATAATAATAATCTTATAAATTCATCCGAAAAGGTCTCCAACCAAACCGCTATTATGTTGGAGCTACAAATGCATGGCTGTTGTGGGGGCATTTCTTGAATGATTTCAATGCAAATTTTTTTTTTTGAAACATCTCTTTATGAAACTGATGTGACTCTTAAATATCCTTGGCAGATTACTCTTCTCTTCCCAGCTCAGGACTGTAAATTCTCTGCAATCAGAACTAAACGAAACAGCAGAATGACTTCATTACATTTTCCTTAATAACCACCACTACATACAAAATAGCAAAAGACACAGAGAGAGAGAGAGAGACTAAATCTTAACATAAAAATACCATAATTAAGCACTTAATAAATAATAACCTTAGAAATAAGGCTAATACTAATTCAGTCGGCTGTGACCTAGCTTGTATGTATGGCAGCTACAGGTAGTTAGAGTTCGGTGGCTTGCAGCAGCACCACATGAAAGAAGCGTGAAGAAGATACCGACCCATTTCCAATGAAGCCCCAATTATGAACCAGCAGCCGGCCGGCCGGCGGTTGAACGCTCGGCCCGAGTGCGAAGCCAGTTTATAATATCACCAAAAACAAGGTCTACATTCTCATCCGGTTCGCCAATCAGCTGGTGCCACATGCCGGGGTATATCTTGATGGTCTTGTCCTGGCTGGAAGCACGGCGATGGAGCTCCTCAACGCAGGCCTGGTCGCAGATGACATCATCACCGCCGTGCACGATAAGCAGAGGCAGGGTGATGTCCTCGAATCGGGCCTGTAAATCCCGGCAGATTCGAAGCAGCTCCTGCGCCGTGGCTGCCCTAGGCCGAGCCAGGGAACGCCGCGGGCTCGCGATCGCCAGCCGTCGCTTCCACTCCACCTTGAATGAGACCTCCGGGATGGAGCCCCTTGTGGGAACCACCCGCCAGGTGGGGATCACTGCCGCAGCAAGCCAGAGAAGGTGCTCGAGCGGCCAAGGAGGCTTGAACTTGTCGCTGATGCCGCACATGGCACCGTTGAGGATGGCGCCGTCCCAGGGGCGGGACGCGACTCCAGCAGATGCGCTGCGACGAAGGTGGATTAGGAGAGCGATGGCGCCGCCGAGGGACTCGGAGTAGAGGAAAGATGGGAGGGCTGCGGGAAAGCGGTCGCGGAAGGAATCGAAGAAGGAGATGCAATCATCAACGACGGGGGTGATATCGGGTATGTGAGTGGGGAGGCCGTCTGAGAAGCCGTGACCCTGGTGGTCGATGGCGCAAACAGCGAAGCCCGCCTTGGCGATATGGACGGCGGTGAGCTGTATTAGCCAGCTGGACTCACCGGTGAATCCGTGAACGACGGCGACGATGCCGATGATGGGAGAGGAGGTGGGGAGGGGAATCCACCATTGCGTGAAGATGCGGAGGCCGCGTGGGTTGAGGAAGGAGGAGGAGTCGTGGGAGACTCCGTGTCGGGCGTAGAACTCGTCGGGCGTGAGGCGTCCAAAGGGGCTCCGATCGTCGGCCTCCGCCACCGGGTGGTGCTCCATCGCCCAATGCGTTGGTTGTTCGGAGAGAGAGAGATCTGGAAGAGGGAGGGAATGAAGTTGGGGTGTTAAATGTTAATGCGATTATTATCACATATACGAACAAAGTAAGAACATTTATTTTGAAGCATCAATCAAGCAATATACTGAAGAGAGTTAATGCATTGAAGGAAGGTGAGAGAAGCACCTCCCACCTAACTTATAAATGCCTCCGTCCGTCTAACAAATCTGATAATTTTGTCACGGGTCACGGGTCACGGGTCACGGGTGGATTCAACAAGTCCTAAAATAAATTCTGGTCCATCCATCAATTTCTCTTATATCATAATTTCTCCATCCATTTAGGGTTTAGGGATCATTGTCATCTCCTTTGTCATTGTCCTAAGGTCTAAGTTTATGTACTTAAGATGTATAAAATTGTATTTTAGACTTTTATACTGTTGGGCATTTGCATTGTGATGTTATATTTTGATCATATATTTATTAGGTATTTTGGGGATTGTATGTGTTTGGTCATTTTTTATGTCATGACCCATACATGATTTTATGTTATTAGAATTGGTGGTAGGTATGCTATTAATGGTATATATGAAAGTAATGATGGTAGGCAAATGCTTGGTGTGGTGTTTGAATTTGGATGTAGGCTTATATATCTTGGCAATCATCTTGTAAAGCTAAGCACTTAATTATTGATCGAAAATGCACTTCTTAAGTTTTTTGACTCTACTTATTGTGCTTCTATTCTCAAGTGAATGGCTACTCGAGTGTGTGAGTTCAAAACCCTTAGAGAAGGACCTTTAAGGAATGAACAAGATTTTTACAGCTACAGACTATTCATAGAGTTTGAATTCAACTTATCCTCACTTCTCACCGATTATCATAAATTCATCACATGCTAGATCATTCATAACTTTGTATTTTTTTCTTTACTTTACATATGTGGGAAAATAAATTTGAATACCCCACACAAAATGGGGTTTCTTCTATTCTTGTGATCGAATATAGTATTGAGAATAGCGTACTATCTCGAGAGATGGAAACAATATTCTAAAATGGATTCAAGAATAAAAATATGATTTTGTAAAATTTTCATTTTCATAATTTAATAAAAAAAAGAATAATATACTTCCTTGAAAGGTTGACTTGCTATTCTAAGATAGTATTTAAAATAAAAACGAGCTTTTGGAAAATTACTATTCATGCAAACAAATACAACAGGGAGGCTATCATATCACCTCAAAAGGGAAATACAATATTTTACGAAGGTATTTAGATGCAAGAATGTATTTTGAAAAATTACCATTTATGTAAGAAAATACAACAAACAAAATATAATATCACCTCGAAGAACGATTATGACATTTAACAAATGTATACTGAATACAAAAATGTATTTTTTCTAAATTCTTACATTTTTTCAGAGATTTTCCCTTTATGAAAATAAGACAGTGTTTATTTTAATTTGGAGTTATATGTATCGCATAAAGGCAAGCTTTTATAGTTAATTACATTTTAGAAGAGATGAATCACCTAATAATACTCTTGATTAAAGTAGTGACAAATATTTTCCTATATTTCAAAGATTGAGACCAGGATGAGAGATTTTAGAATTTCCAAAATGGATTGATTCAATGCTAAGCAGTTTTTCTAGAAGCCAAATGATCAAAGGTAGGAAGCATTGAGATTATGGGACCATGTATGCTAAAGTTATAGTAAAAATCAATTTGGTTAGTGCTACATAATGATTGGATAGTGCTTCAAGTGTGGGCAAACTAGAAATATGATTGATGAGAGTCCATAGGCATGATATGAATGACGATCTGAGCCTAGATATGAGAGTTCTGTTAAACTGTCATGGAGATCGAATATAGTACCCTTTAACACTGCTGTTCAGAGTTCCTTTGGTGGAGACAGTAGTTTTGGTTCCATGGTAGGGAGGCCATTGGGTAGCACTCAGAGGGAGCCTGATAGTTCTATTATACCAGCTCCAGTTCAAGCACATGTGTATAGTTTAGTAGGAGGCTTATGAGGCTCAAGATGTTGTGATAAGTACATCTTATATTTTTGCTCAGTTATGTCATATTTTATTTGATTCTGGAACTAATCATTCATTTATTTCTGACCACAATTTTAATTTATTACACTTATCTTCAATTTATAATATTTTTTTATCTATTACTTTACCGATTGGAGATGGTACGATATCTAGTAGAGTCTATTTATGTGATATTATGATATCTGATAGGAAGTGGAGATCTAGTTTAATTTTGTTGCTCATTTTAGAATTTGATGTTATTTTGGGAATTGAACTGTTTGATGCTCGAATTAATTGCTTGAAAAAGTAAGTTATCTTATTTTTGGGTAGTGAGAGCTATTTATTTTAGGGTGTTAAATGAGTTATATCTTGTATGATCACTAATGTACATGTAGAAAGAAGGGTTGTATGATATTTTTAACATCAATTCAAGATAGTAGAGTAGATTCTTATTTTCTTTCTAATGCTCGAGTATTGTGGGAGTTTCCTAAATAATTAGTTTGTTAGTTTGTCTCTGGACAGAGATATAAAGTTCAATATTAATATATTTTTAGGTATGGCTCTAAATTCTAAGGCTCCAGATAGGATGATACCTAAGGAGCTTCATAAAGTAGAAGGTGTAGCTTAATGAGTTAATTGACTAAAGAATTGTTCATTCTAGTGTGTCTCTGTGGGGAGCACATATTTTATTTATGAAGAAGAAGGATGATATGATGTGTATGTGCATTGACTACAGGAAAATTGAACAAAGTCGCTATTAAGAGTAAATATCTTTTACTGAAGATTGACAATTTATTTGATTAACTTTATGGATCTTATCCAGATTGATCTGTGATCCAGATACTATTGGGTAAAGGTGAGAGAGTCTGGTGTGATAAAGGATGCTTTTAGTACAAGGTAAAGATACTATGAGTTCTTAATCATACCTTTTGGGGTTCTAATGCACCAACCGTCTTATAAATTTGATGAATGAAGTGTTTATAAATTATCTAAATCAGTTTGTTATTATTTTTATAGATGATATTTTGGTTTATTCTACTTTTGAGGAAGATAATAATAGGAATATGAGGATTATTGTGGAGACTCTGAGACAACTTCAGTTATAGGCGAAGTTCTCAAAATACGAGCTCTAGTTGAAAAGCATTTCATTTTTGGGGCACGTTGTGTGTAGCGTAGGTATTTTTATAGATCCTTAAAAAGTTCAAGTAATTGCGGATTGGCCTAGACCTACTGCCATATGAGAGATACAAAATTTCTTAGGGATTGCTTACTATTATAGGAAGTTTGTAAAATAATTTTCTTACGGCACTGTGATGCGAAGTCAAATGGCTTTATGAATGATTATGTAATAATGAGCACAAGAAGAAAAAAAAAATGAAAATGAATGAATGATATCTCATTCTATCATCTTTGAAAAAGTGTTAGGGCCCCCAAAAACTATGCCGAACCATTTGAGTGAAGACCAGAAGATCAAGTCAATCAACTCAATATCCTACCCTCATGACGATTCAAGAAAAAGGCAATATAACCATGTACTAACTAAGCCTTTGGTTTCATTAGCTTGTCATACATCATATGTCACAAAATGACCTTATGTCATTTATATGTGTTTACCCAATCTAAATAAGGGCCGGTCGATTCATAGATTTGATCTTCCAAAGAATGAGAAAAGGGAGTATACGTCAGAACAATGAATTATCTCATGGCGGTCAGGTGTCAGCGCTATGAATCACTTGTAAGCAAAAGCAGGGAATCAGTAGTAAAAACCATGGGCTATTGAAGCGCAACGTTATGCCACCGAATATGCAGCACTCGTACGAGCAGATAGAAGAGGTCAAGAAAGCCCAAAATAAAACCATGTACATTCAACATCGATAGTTACTTTTGTAGTGGGACACCCCTTGCATTGCATGCAAATATCTTAAAATGCCCCTCATATATGCATTGTAATAAGCATGATAAGTTATATAAGCATATTATTCAACATTGCATTTACATGCATATGTGTCGTACATGCATGATCAAGGGCCTTTCCGCATGCATTTGTAGGATGTTGAAAATTTTATTCTAGCGTGCCACTTTAACATCGCTATTATATTTCAAAAAGACCTTTGATATACATATGTAGGATGTAGAGGATTTCATTCTAGCGTGTCATTCTGACTTTTGCTGTTACATTTCAAAATACCTCTCGCATGTGTTGGTGATATGCATAGGGTATTACTCAAGTATTTTATTTGACACTGTAATTGCATTTCAAAAATACTCCTCCTATAATAAGTAGAGGGTTTCACTCCAGTGTGTCATCTGACATCACAATTATATTCCAAAATCATCATCCTACATAAGCAGAGGATTTCACTCCATTATATCATATGACACTGTAACTGCATTTCAAAAATCATATCATACACACACGTGAATGCATCATACAAACTGTATACAATTGCATATACCCACGTAGGTCCTAGAGAGTGTGTCGTAGGTACACACGTGACGTCAGAGAATACCACGCGGGTTAAGAAATAAGTTTATGTTCAAACCGGATCCTCTGCCGACAAGTAGGCAGAGTTGATAAGGTTCAACGAGCAAAAGTATAACAACCCATAAACTCCCCGATGATGGCCATGTTGAATTTTAATCTCAACCAGAGTGGATCGTATATCATCAAATTCCCTTGAACTTTCACAAAATACAAAATACCCATAAAATTAAAAATATCCAAAAACACCAAAATTCAAAGATATTTAGAAATGAAATAAATCATCAAACACTTAAAGCACAAAAATTCATCCACCATTCGCAATAGTTTACCTAAGCAGACAAATTGTGTCATTTAACTGGTGATTTCACCGCCAAATAGCACCACATTGTGTATTTCGCCACCAAATGACGCCACAGGTAAACAATTATAACTGGGACCCTCTGAACCGTATGGTTCACCACAAAATGGCACAATTAAATAAATCTTCATACAATTGGTGTAATCCAATTAATATGCAATGCCAATTATTTTTTGGATAATACATGATATTCTTCTTGGAGATCGGGTTGCAGGCCAGTTGATCGACGAAAAAAAAATTTCCTCCCAATCTTGCTAGTGCTCGAATCCCCTAATATGCCCCAAAATAAATAATAATAAAAAAAAATCTTCATATTTTCCTCGAAGGTGATGACAAATATAGTCCAATAACTTTACAAAATTGATCTCAAATTAATTCATTAGGTGTTAATTGACAAAAAAATGGGACATGAAATTGATCCTAATTTGATTCTTCATCAGCCATACAAAATTGATCTAAATTTAGATTGCATATGAATAATCAAGAGATTATTTTGAGTAATTTGTAAGGATATATATAAGTAAAGAAAGCACACATTGAGCCATATAGACCTTTTTTTATGGATGCAGAACTTCCACGACAAGCCATCAAGCCTGCATGTGGTAACATGCTAATACAGCATATGGAAAGTGGACTTACAGTATAAGGCATCAAGTCGGAATCTGTACGTCAAGTCAAGAATGGACTTCTCACTTGGGTTAGCTGAAAAGCATTTGTTTAACTAATAAGCTCTCACTACAAGAACTATAGGGATGAAGTAGCACATGCAATCCTCCCAACTCCAAGCAAAACTTTATAAGCAATTGCATCGAGCAGCTAGCGTTAGTCACGCATGAGCTGCCCTCCTTCAAATCCGTAGAAAGTCTACTATCTCTCTCGATCCCCGCGCACCACATCCATATAAATAACTAGCCAGTACTCCTAACACTTATGAACCAGTTAATCAGATCAGGATGGCCAACAGGATTATTGGCAGGAAGCTGACCATGGGCCTGCTGATGGTGCTGTTCTCTTCACTGATCAGCCCGCTGATTTCCCTTGACGGAGGAGAAGGTATGATCAAAGCAGCGGCAGCAGCTGCCGGCGATAATAACAAGGGGAAATTGGATCCGGCATCGACCAACTATGTTGTGCTGGACAGGAATCCTAAAACTGGACAGGAGAGGTTCTTCTGCCTGGCAAGAGGAAGGTGTCGTTTTAAAATAATTCAATGCCCGGCGCAGTGCCCTCGGCGCAAGCCAAAGAAGAACCGAATCGTAAAGGCTTGCTTCGCAGATTGCAGCAGCCGTTGCGAAACCACCTGCAAGCGTACGCCCAATTTATTAATAATTTCCATATCTATTAACATAATTAGTACAAGGCAACGAGATCCAATTTTAGATGATTTTAAATTTTTTAAGATGTATTAAGAGGTTGTTTAATATCCTATTTTCGCGTAGATTTAACTAAAAAATATTTTCTAACAAAATTAAGGAGACTTTATACCAATTGATTGATGCTTGATGGATACATATACAGATCGATTGCCGAATTGCAACGGCTTCGGGTCCATCTGCTACGATCCCCGGTTCGTCGGCGGCGACGGCACCATGTTCTACTTCCATGGTGCCAAAGGTGGCAACTTCGCCCTCGTCTCCGACCGCCACCTCCACATCAACGCTCACTTCATCGGCATTCGTCCCGTCGGGCGTTCCCGTGACTTTACTTGGGTTCAAGCCCTCGCAATCATGTTTGAGTCCCACAGCCTCGTCGTCGCGGCCCGACGTGTGGCGGTCTGGGATGATTCGGTGGACGTCCTCTCCTTGCTTTTTGATGGCGTTGCCATCGCCCTTCCAATTGAATTTGATGGCGAGTGGCGGAGCCAGACGGGTGAGGTGGTGGTTGAGCGAACGTCAGAGGCTAATAGCATACGGTTGACGGTATCCGAGATGCTGGAGATGGAGGTGAGGGCGGTGGGGATTGGCGAGGAGGAGAACAGGACGCACGGATATGGTTTGCCGTCAGGAGATGCGTTCGCGCACTTGGAGATGCAGTTTAAGTTAGGAAGGTTGTCGGACGACGTGGAGGGGGTATTGGGCCAGACGTATAGGGCGGGATATATCAGTCCGGTGAAAAAGGGAGTGGCGATGCCGATGATGGGTGGGGAGGATCGATACCAGACGCCGGGGTTCATGTCTCCGCATTGCGGATCTTGCCGATTCCAGTTACCCAATGCAATCAGTGGCGAGGCTGCTACGGTGGATGTGGTTCTGTATTGATGGGCACGAAGCCAAATTAAGTGTTGTATTTTAAGCATCGAGTCAAGTATTGGATCTTAGTACTATTTAAAAAACAATAATAGAGGTCGTGTTTTATTCAACAATGTTACATCAATTTACATGTATTAAATTTACATATATTTGGACCTACTAAAACCTTGAGCAATGGGAGCAATAATATGAGCTTGTGATGATTGATAATTACTAGTTTATGCAGATTATCTTTCTATCCTTTACAAGGTGAAGCCTTCATATGTTTTAAAAAAATTGCACTACTTGAAAGCCTTATTTGATTTCTGAGATTTCAAGTTAAAATAATGGTAAAAGTTTGATGATGTACTTCTCTAAAAGTATTGTTCTCCTCTATCTTCTCCTTTGAAGAGTCTCATTTTTCTATGAATGCTCCTTCACCCACCTAATGTGTGATTACACTATCTTCCTCCAAAATCAGTAGCATTACATCAAGGAAAATGTTTCTTATATAGAATCAAGTCCTCTTTCACTTTTCATAGAGATAGAGAAAAGTGAATCAACCCTTTGAAGTATTGTGGAGGAGGTCTAAGGACAATTTAGAAGGCCTCATCCTTAATATTGATGGAAGAAGTAGCCTAATCAATAGCAAGTTGGACATCCCTCTCCTTTTAAAGTTGGGTGAAAATTTAAGCCACCACATAATCCTTTTTCTACTCTACCTCTTCGCATGGCTTAATATAAGCCATGCCTTGCCATTTCTTGGCCTCAAGTAAGAACCAGAGAGATGAACTTTGCCTCCATCTCTCAACCTTGTACTTGCATTTGTAAAACTTGAACTCCATAGTGATAATGCATTCACTCTCCAGTAATGATACAATAATTTCTATGACCTTGGTTCGCTCCTTTTTGAGTCATGCCTTAGTTGCTTATTACAACATTGCCAGAAGATGAACTATGCTTGATTCTAACTAAGCTTCAGTAGCACTCTAAGTTGCTTCCCTAAACTGTAGAACAAATTGTTGCTCTAAAATGAGTTCATATCTTACAAGGTAGTCATGAATATCTTTCTTTGATAGTAGATAAATTATATTAACAACAATAGGACTATCTTCGTGATGACGAGTACCTTTATAAGGCAAAATAGGCTAGCTTATAATTCTTTGAGCTTTATCCCCCAGTTTAGACTTTGCAATAGAGGCAATATCAGATAGTAAATTGATGAAAATTTTATAACCATTCATAATGGACAGTTTTTTTATTTTTTCATATTCATGTCTCATCAAATGTTTAACCTCTTAGCCACCTTCATAAAATTCGTGCCCTCATGTGCATCCAAAGACCTCCCCAGTGGGGATGATTGATGCCCTAACATAAGAAATGATCATGAACAAGTAAACTAACATATGTAATGATAAAAAGACCACAATGAAAAAAGACAAAACTCTCTTAGTGAGCTTATAAATAAATAATAATAAATAAAAAATCTAACAGTACCAGAGGACTCTTTAATTATCATAGATTTAAAAGGAACAAAAGAGTGAACTTTCATGATAAAAGTTAAGTTGGCCTTAATATCACAAGTCATTCAACTCTTATATAGACAATATGGCTAGTGCTATGAGTGGCTTGCTATATTAACTGTGCTCTTGGGTTTATATTTTTTAAGTACTTAAGATAAAATGAAAGTGTTGTAATCCTCTATTGAGAGGGCACCCTCATAAGGGAAATTATTATTGCTCAATAACATTTTGAGAAAAAATAAAAAAAAGTAAATTTATTTTCACACATTCCTAAATGTTATACACTTATATACCCAAAATTTAAATAGTGGTTTTTAGAATAATCAAATAAGTTGTAGACCAACTTTGCGAAGATTGGAACCTTACATTCTAGAATTATCTTCCCAAAAGGCTTAATACCTTCTATATGCTTGGAAATCAAACTCATTAGGTTTCATCATGGATGTAGGAGCATGAGTGATCTTGGATCTTCCAATTCATCCCAAGAGCCACAAGGAAGAGGCTTTCTTACCAATAGAGAATAGAACATTAGGGGTCCTGATGCAAATGGTTATTATCTAGCAATTAGCTGAAACATATAGAAGAAAATTTTTATAAATCACAAAATATTATTGGAAACATAAAAGTTAAACAAAAAGGAGGAAATGGAAATATTAAGAGCAAAGAAATACAACTATGGATACTAACCATTAAAATCAAAATCAATACCTCCAAAAAATGGTTAAAAAAACACAAATCACAAATCACAAAGATTACTCCAGCTCCTATCATTCTTCTTGACCAACAAAATTGGATTTAAAAAAGTGCTCACACTCGGCCTAATAGTCCCTGCCTCCAACATCCCTCGGATAAGTTTCTTAATCCTGTCCTTTTGAATTTGAGGGTAGCAATACGGTCGGATACTGATAGGGAAAACCCCCTCCCTTAGGGTGATGGCATACTCTTGCTCCCATGACGGTGGTAAGCCCTAAGGTGTCTGAAAGACCTTCCTGAATTATTGTATGAGTGACTGCACCAAAAGGGGAACATCCCCTCCTATTTTGATCCCTTCTAGACTCTGCAATTCGCACTCCCCTAATCACCACCATTTTTCCTTCCACCACCAACTCCATCGTTAGAGCTCCCCAGTTGACATTGGTATCTCCCAGGTAGGGGTGTCAATTATTGACCCGACCCGGACCCAAACCCGACCCGGAAAATCCGGGTTAGGATTGACCCGTTTAATAAACGGGTCGGGTTCAAGTTTCAATTTTCAAACCGTTTAAAAAAATGGGTCAGGTCAGGGTCAACCCGGTAACCCGAAATTGATCCGGAATTGACCCGGCTACGAAGTGTAACCGGTCGTCGAATTGCCCAACGTCTCGCACTCTGTAGTCGAATCACGGAGGCGCACCGGTCTTCATCGCCCCACGTCGCGTAGTCACAACCACAGTCTAGCCCTAGCGGCTAGCCCTCGCCTCCTCGCATGGTTTGGTCGCACCCGTGCCGCCCAGTCGGGACTCGGGACAATCACCTCTCGTCGATTTCGAGTAGGGGTGTAACCGAGTCAAGCTGGCTCGTGAGCTGGCTTAAACTTGACTCGTTAACGAGCTCGCGAGCCGAGCTTATCGAGCTTCGAGCTCGAGCCTATAATCGAGCTCGAATGATAAATGAGCTCGAGTTCGAGCTCAACCTGACTCGACTAGAAAGCTTATCAAGATACTCGATTATATTATATTTATAATATTATAATTTTTAGAATATTAAAAATCATATTATATGTTATAACTTATAGGATAAAAAAACCCCTAGCCCGCCGCACATCTGTTCATTTTGCCTCCTAATGCCCTAACTAAACACATCGTGTGGCCTCTCGTCACTCCAGTCTCTCTTCTCCCTCGGTCGACCGAACAGGTGCCGAGTGCCGAGTCTGCCGACTAATTCCTCCGTCGTCCTCTCATCCGAGCCGAGAAAAAGTCGCGCAAAGACCCCTAGTAGGTCCGGCCGCCTCTCACGCGACTGCAACGGTGAGCCGACTCCAGGTAATTTCTTCCCTTCGGTTGTTTCACACTGAGGCGAGTAGGTCCGACCGTCTCTCAGAAATTCTTACTTAGATTGTCCATAACTATTTGCATAGTTATGTTCCAATTTTGTATAAACTTTCTATTCAGCTAAGTTTAGTTGGAGAGTTGTATAAATATTTAGAATTTTAAACTTTCTTTTCAGCTAAGTTTAGTTGGCTACCTCAGCTGCGGCATTGTAATTTAATTTTCATCCAACATGTAGTGATTCTTGTTTCTTATTTAAAACTTATTTACCTATGTGGTTTTGGAGGATGACCCCATCTCAAATATTCCCATATAAGGGAGTTGTAACTAGAAGTTTCCATTTGTTAACAAATCAGAGAAAAATTTTCAAGCATTGCTCATCATAGCTATCACAAGAACAATCCCTCTCAACCTCTTGAACCAATCATATGCTCCCCGTTTTTTCTTGCCTGATTAAGTTCTTCGCCTTCTGCTGCTTTCAGGGGAAGGATTGTTCACAATCTGCTAATGAGAAAAATTTCTCCAATGACAGGATAGAGGTATATTAATATTTAATATGAGACATCAAATTTGAGATCTATAGAATTGATACGTCATCACAAATTTATCTTGATCGGGCACGAATCTCGAGGCAAAAAGTTAGTTGGAAACTTCAAAAATTAATTCCGGAAGCACCCGAACTCCAATTTCAATAAGCTTACAGTCAAACTGAGCGTCTCGGAAATACGAACCCAACGACATCAAATTCAACCCAATCCGAGCCCAAATGGGTCCAAATCAAGGACCTGAAGCCCTGTTGGAAGGTTCAAACCGCAATTTGAGTTACCAAATGGTCTCCGATTTTAACGAGCTTATATTCGAATCGAGCGACTCGACGAGACGAATCCAACGAGCCCAAGATCGCCGAATTCCGACATCATTAAAGCCTCCAAATGTCCAACGAACAATGCACGATCGAAGGGTTCAATATCGGCCGTCCATTCAAACCACTCCCAGTTCGCCCATGATCTCACACCTATTTACGAGCCACGCCACTCCAAAAAAACTATAAATAGAGCCCTCATTCTTCACAAAGGGGGACTCAAGTGAAGAGAGAGAAGAAGAAGAGAAGAAGGAAGAGAACGAAGAAGCTCCTCCTCGACCATCGCCGGAGCTCTTCCCGCCGCCTGAAGACGTCGGAACTCTGCCGGATTTTTGGGAAACGCCGGGAATTTGCAGAACTTTGTAACTTTGTGAGAAGTTGATTGTAAACTGATCGTCTTGATTTGTAAGACGGATCAACATTTGTACTTCAAACAAATACTAGTGGAACTTTACAACTTGGCGAAGCCCCGTGGTTTTTTCCCTCTTTCGGGTTTTCCACATAAAAATCTTGGTGTTCATTTCTCTTTTCTGTTTGTGTGCTGAATACTCGTACAATGCTTGGAAGCGAATTTACAAACTCTACCACCGCGTATATTCTAGCACGCAATAGTTTGGCGCCGTCTGTAGGAAACACTATCGCACAACTTCAAGTATTGCTACAATGGTCAACAGGTGTAGCAGTCGCATCATTGGAGCTTCTCGCTCCAACTCCCACTAGTCCAGAAATCTGTCTGCAAATCACAGACGCCTGATGCCTGTCTCTTTTCATACTGGGGGGCAGAATGCTGCCGGAGAAAGGACCTCGGGACCTTCTTTAGAAGAAAGAATCCAGAAGATGGAAGAATCTTAGAACGAGATCCTTCAACTCCTGCAAGATAATCGACAGCCGACATTGGAGAAGGTCCTTCTCCCTCGGGATCCACTAAGGGTTGAAGATGTTCAATTCGAGCATCTTCAAGAAGAGATTCATCTCCCTCCACCTAGAAGATTTCCTCAGTCTCGACAGGATAACGAACTTGCCGATACAGCAAGTTCTACACATCCTCCGCCTTCAACTTGGCAGCCTCGCATTCTCCCTGATCTGCCAGAAGGTTCTGCCCAACCGCACATTGCTGAGCTCCCTCACAATGCTCTACGGCACGAACTACGAAAATTGGTACGGAAGAGTTCCCCCGAGGAGATGTGAGGCGAGCTCTCCGACAGAGGAACTTCCAGGAGTCATCACCTCTGACTGAAGCCATTCTTCAGCACCCCATTCCGGTCGGATTCAAAGTGCCAAACGTTGAGTCTTACAACGGGACGACCGACCCGTATGAGCATATCGACTACTACAGAACCATCATGCATATTCAACGAGCATTAGACGCACTCCTTTGCCAGGTTTTTCCTGCCACCCTTAAAGAACAGGCTCAAACTATTCGTTGAAAAGTTTGTGGCTAATCGAAGAATTGCTAAGGATTCTTCCCACCTCTCCGGAATCCGCCAAAATGAGGGAGAATAGTTAAAGGAGTATTTTCTACGGTTTTCCACCGAGGCTAGACAGATTCCAGGAGTAGACCCTGAATTACTCAGAGGGGTCTTTCTTGGAGGTCTTCGTCCTGACCCCTTCTATTCAGCACTCATGCGCGACACTGTTCATTCATATGCTGACCTGATCCATCGCGTGGAGGCGCAAATTTCTGCAGATGAAGCCATAAATGCTCACAGGAAGCAATTTGAACAAATCAACGGGAAGCGCAAAGGTGCACCTGGGATGAATAATTCATTCTCACAACAGAAAAAGCAAAGGCAGAATGATCTATCTCCTAGGCCTCCATTACCGCGATGGGAACCCCGACAGGAGGAGTATACCCCACTCAACGCGTTTCGAGCAAATGTATTGATGGCCATTCGAGATCAAGATATATTAAAATGACCGAATCCTTTGAAGTCGAACACAGGAAATGCAGATCAGTACTGTCACTTTCATCGAAGTCGTGGCCACACTACTGAAACCTGTAGACAACTGAAGGAGGAAATTGAAAGGCTTATCCGTCAAGGCTATCTTTGGCAGTTTATTCGGGATCCACCTACCCGAGAGGAAGCTCGTCCCGCTGGGGGGCAAAATCAACAATAAAGACAACTATTGAATAATATTAAAGTGGTTGGAGAGATTGAATGATCACGCACTCCGTGCATTTGTATTAGCAATACTACTTGTCTTGTTGTCTCTTTTATGTTGAGTAGGGTGTCACTTTGATATCTCTAATGTCTTCTTTCAAGTTAAATATTGTATTGTCACCGTACGTAGATCTTATGTGTTGAGTACTTTGTAATTTGTATATCCCTAACTCATACTAGGGAACTATTGTATTGTCTTACATAATGCAGTAATATAATGTTCATGTTATTGTGATATTATTTTCTCTTGTGAAAGATAAAAAAACTTCTCAAACTCTTTCTCTGTGATTCGAGAAATACACAATCTACATTGTATCTCAATCACCGGATGATCAATCCCAGGGAGATTTGATCTGGCCTCATCCACACAGGTTAGCGTCGTCGAGAAAAAGCTCCGACATACAACCTCAGATAGGTCTCACATCCTTGGTGGATTCTCTCGACCTCTTCCACACAGGTTAGCGTCGTCGAGAAAAAGGCTCCGACATAGAACCTCGGATAGGTCTCACATCATTGGTGGATTCTCTCGACCTCTTCCATACAGGTTAACGTCGTCGAGCAAAGGCTCCGACATACAACCTCAGATAGGTCTCACATCATTGGTGGATTCTCTCGATCTCTTCCACACAGGTTAACGTTGTCGAGCAAAGGCTCCGACATACAACCTCGTATAGGTCTCACATCTTTTATGGATTCTTTCGGCATCTTCTACAGAGATTCTTAGCAGGCGAAAAAGCTTCAAAAAAGTATATTATGCAATATATCAGAGCATGACTCAAAGATGCATAAACAATTCAATTTCCTCTGAGGGATAACATCTCAACTTCATATTCAATATCACTGGAGTTACATAACAAAAATTGTACAAAAAAATACATTTTTGTAAGAATCTGAAAGCAAAAAGTACTTTGACATGAGCTGTACAAGTTACAATCATCAAACATCAAGCAACAAGACATATTACAAATTGGTCTTCTTCAGGCCTCAACTCAGTTGATACTATACATCTGTCGCCAGAATGTCGACATAACACACTGCTCCGACCTCTTAAATAAGGGATATCTGATGTCAGCAAACTTTTGTATTTATGCTTATTATCTTTGCAAAATGCAACTAGACCACCGTCATCATTGACTCTTTGCCTGATGTTCGTCGTCGGTCCTTTACTTTGTACAAGCCAGCATCGTCTTCTTGCTCGATTGCTACTTGCAACGCACCCTCGAACTCTCACCTTTGGCTCTACACTCGGTCGTTGACTGCTAATGGGCTTCAACTCGATCGTCCGTCGCCAGTAAACTTCCGCTCAAACGACATTGAAATTCTCTCAATTTGCTCATCACTTATGGATTTCCTCCAATATGCTATCACCGCCAGATCTTCTCAAATCCCCTAACTTCTAAGCGAGAGGAGGGACGCTAATTCGAGCAGGGGAAATTTTCCACTCGCAAATAGCGGAAGCCTCAACCGTCAGAAAGCCGAGAGGAGGAGAAGAAATCCCCTAAACTTCTGCACGAGAGGAGGGGTGGTAATTCGAGCAGGGGAAATTTCCCACTTGCAAATAGCTAAAGCCTCAACCGTCAGAAAGACGGGGGGAGGAGAAGAAATCCCCTAAACTTCTGCACGAGAGGAGGGGCGCTAATTCGAGCAGGGGAAATTTCCCACTCACAAATAGCGGAAGCCTCAACCGTTATAAAGCCGGGGGGAGGAGAAGAAATCCCCTAAACTTCTGCACGAGATGAGGGGCGCTAAGTCGAGCAGGGGAAATTTCCCACTCGCAAATAGCGGAAGCCTCAACTGTTAGAAAGCCACAGGGAGAAAAGGAGAAGGTGCAAGTTTCCTTAAGGATTTGGAGGATTATTTATAGGTTTTGGAGAGAATGAGGGGAAGTTACTGCCATTTTCGGAATCCCAAAATTTTTTAAAATTTTTCATAATTTTTTGGAGCCAAAAATAGCAAAAAAACGCTATTTCTACGTATGTGGGACCCACAAAGGCGGTGGGCCGAACCGACCTTTCTCTCCCCTCGAAACAGCGCAGACAACGCACGAAACCACAGACGAACCGTGCAGATCGCGACTCGCAGTGTGCGCGGCACGCGAAGGCCGCGTGGCGTTCGGCCAGCTGCAGCGGCAGCAGCCTGCCGGCGGAACCACGGGAGATCCACGCGCGGGTCGTGAAGCAGCCCAGGCGGGTGCGAGCAACTGCGCGGGCGCAAGCCCAAGTGCGCGTGCAGGCCGGGAGCACCCGAACTCCGATTTCAATAAGCTTACAATCAAATTGAGCGTCTCGGAAATACGAACCCAACGACATCAAATTCAACCCAATCCAAGCCCAAATGGGTCCAAATCAAGGACCCGAAGCACTGTTGGAAGGTTCAAACCGCAATTTGAGTTACCAAACGGTCTTCGATTTTAACGAGCTTATACTCGAATCGAGCGACTCGACGAGACGAATCTAACGAGCCCAAGATCGCCGAATTCCAACATCATTAAAGCCTCCAAATGTCAAACGAACGGTGCACGATCGAAGGGTTCAATATCGGCCGTCCATTCAAACCACTCCCTATTCGCCCATGATCTCACACCTATTTACGAGCCACGCCACTCCAAAAAAATAATAAATAGAGCCCTCATTCTTCACAAAGGGGGACTCAAGTGAAGAGAGAGAAGAAGAAGAGAAGAATGAAGAGAAGGAAGAAGCTCCTCCTCGACCACCGCCGGAGCTCTTCCCGCCGCCTGAAGACGTCGGAACTTTGCCAGATTTTCGGGAAACGTCGGGAATTTGCAAAACTTTGTAACTTTGTGAGAAGTTGATTGTAAACTGATCGTCTTGATTTGTAAGACGGATCAACATTTGTACTTCAAACAAATACTAGTGGAACTTTACAACTGGGCGAGGCCCCGTGGTTTTTTCTCTTTTTCGGATTTTCCACGTAAAAACCTTGGTGTTCATTTCACTTTTCTATTTGTGTGCTGAATACTCGTACAACGCTCGAACATGAATTTACAAATTCTACCGCCGCGTATATTCTAGCACGCAACAAGAATATGTAAATTTAGACAGTTGCTATAGTGCTATTTTTTAAAATAATTATTATTTAACTTTTCTCTTAATTTTTCAGGTTTGCAGGATATTAATTGGTAATAGAGAGTTGAGATGAAAGAATTTGAAGAATATGGAATATCAGACAGACATGGAATAAATAGTTTTATCTTTTGTTGTGCTTTTTACTTATGCTCTATCATGAAACTTCTTAATGGATTGTATAATTCCAATTACTTTTTTTTTTGTATAATGATGTGATGATATACAATTTGGTCTAACATTGATATGAATGCTCTATTATTATATTGATCATGTTTTTATTGTAATTAATTGCATAAAGTTGCACTTGATATTGATCAAATATTTTAAAGGAAGATGATTGCTCACTATGACACTATATATTGATTTCTTCAAGAACTAAATTTAAGAAAAAAAAAGGTTTACATTTAAAGAGTCAAGCCAATTAAACGAGCCGAGCTCGAGCTTTTCAAACGCGCTCTAGCTCGAGCTTGCGAGTCGAGCTCGAACTTGGTATACTCCAAACGAGTCGATCTCGAGCCCACTAATCGAGCTCGAGCCCGAGCTCATTAAGTCTTAAACGAGCCAGGCTTGATAAGACAAATACTCGGCTCGACTCGACTCGGTTACACCCCTAGTTTCGAGTCTCACCTTAGCGCTCGCGTGGTCTGGTCGCATCCACATCGCACTGCCTCGTAGCCTCGTAGGCACGCCGCAAGCTCACGCAACACTTGCTTTCGCTTGAACTGCACCTAAACTCTAGATCTCGCCCTCGCTCGCGGGTCATGTCGAGTCAACCCGGCAACCTGCACGGGTCGGGTTCGGGTTGACAAACCTGACCCGTTTGCAAAACTGGGTCAGGTTAGTGTCAACCCATTTACGGCCTGTTGACCCGAATTGACACCTCTACTCCTAAGGTCTGCAACCACTTTAGCCCAAGACAACATCAGTGCTCCCTAATTCCAATGGAAGAAAATAATGAAAAGGTTAAACAACATTATATATGTGTATCACTCATGTTCCTACCCATCTAGCTTAAATTGTAATTTACTCAAAAACTTTTGGTATAGGTCCTTCAGAAGTAATGGTTTACTTCTTAGATATAGAATTACGACTCTTTCCTGTTTCAAATAAGTCATAATTGAATCATTCCATCAGCTGACAGAATAATTTATATGCTTAAATCATTTTATATGTAAAACTAGCTTAACAAGTAACAGGAAAAAAAAAAAAAAGAGTAACAGGAAATAGACTGCTTAAATAATCCGATTTGAAGCATTTCTTGTGTTGCAAATTGAAATTGATCATAACCCTTTTCAAGCATGCAGGATATTCGGGAATCAGTATAACAATAACGCCTACCCTCTACTTATGAGCAAGTTCACATCGTGAAATGACTAATAGTTTTTGGATGGTTAAACTTGTAGTTGATCAAATAAAGGGATTGCGGAGTTACCTTTTCTCTTCAGCACAAGTACTATAACCACGTGTAGGATGAAGAGATAACTCCATCTGGTTTATGAATACCTGAATCTTCCCATGCATAGTCCAAGTTATATATAATGGAATATCAATAATAAATCATTTTTTCATTAAATTCCCCACTAGCATTAACTTGTTTCTGATTCTGAACTTCTGCTTGATCATAATTTGCAGTTTCTGGATAATGACAATAGATACCACCTTTAAGTGAACTGCTATTTTGAGATAGAGTAACTTAAAAAGAGATGCATGCATCGACATTTTCTATACTAAAACAGAACTGAGATTGTACATTTGTGGATTAAGATTGAAACAAATTGAGCATATTATGTTCATGAATAATTTAGAAAGGCAAAGAGGTTATCGCAATTGCAAAATAATAAGCACTCAAAATACTTGGCTGGAGAGCAATTGTTTTATTTGATTCCAATGATAAAAACAAGTGAAATTACCAAACTAGTATGTGCTATTTGTAAACAGCAGGCAAGAAAGAGCAGAAGCTCAAAAATAAAACTAGAAACTGAACACAACTCTCCTTGGCCTATTGGTTGAGAGCTTAGACTTCCAACTAAGAGGTCCAAGATTCGAGTCTATGTGTATGCGTTGTGTGTGTGAGTTTGCCTTAATTGGCCTAAATGTCCCAAAAAAAAAAAAAAACTAGAAACTGAAACTGAGAGAGTGGAAAATCATCCAACAGGAGTTCTCTCATTCCTTGCGGAGATCGATGCCAGCCTTCTTGGCCACAACATCCAAGCCATTCTTCTCGATAGTCTTAAGAGCCTTGGTGGATAGGCGGAGCTTGAGGTAGCGCTTACCTGCCTCCCACCACACTCTCTTGTACTGTAAATTGACAAACTGCAGCTTTTTGGTCTTGTGATTGGAGAATGATACCTTGTTAGCCTTGTTCGCTTTCTTCCCTGTGAATGGGCAAATCCTCTCTGCGAGAAGAAAAAAAAAAAATATAAATAACAAAATCTTCAAGAAAAATGTGGATTTTAACGGCCAGATGTGTGGATTTACTGGCAAGAATTTTGTGCACTGGAGTTGTCGGGTGGAAGGAAGGTGGTAGGGGGGAGATGCTAAGCTTGAGACCGGCGAATTGTGACTTCCGGAGCCCTAACTCTTGACACCTCGTCGACGACGGGCTGGAAGTCGAAAAACAAAACATAGATTTGGAATTAAGATCCAGTCTCCCAAAGGACATGGTGAACGGACGCAGGAGCTGCGCTGCCATTTTCCCAACTCGTCTTCTATGCTGCGAAAGAGCTTAGGGCCTTATAGATAAGAGACGGGCGGTCAGTGGCCAGTGGGACATGATTAGGGGTGGAAATCAGTCCAGTCAGCTCAAGTTAGGGGTTGTTCGAGTCGAGCTTGATTATCTAATTTCGAGCTCGAGCTCGACTCGTCTTCATGTCGAGCAGCTCGTCGAGTTCAGTTCCGAGCTCCGCTATCGTACTCTCTCCCTCGTCATCGAGTCCCGTCCGTCATCTCTCGTCCGTTGTCGCATTCGTCTTCCCGACCTCAGCCGTCGATATCCTTCATCCCGAGCTCATCATCGTGTCAGTCGTCTTCCTGAACTTCGGCGATGTCGTCCCAAGCTCGTAGTCGAAAATGATGGATGTCGACGTCCAGAGCTTGTTCGCCGTCGAGATCCACGTGCGAGCTCTGTCGATTTGGATTTCCCGCTCACGAGCTCCGTGGATTAGGATTTCCCGCTTGTGAGCTCCGTCGTCAAGATGCTCGTCGAGTCTTAGGCATGTTCGAGCTCAATAAGCCTTTAAGCTCGACTTGCGAGCTCGATAAGCTCGATTCGTCGAGCCTGTTCCTGAGTTGAGTCCGAACCAGCTCATGAGTCGGATTGACTTGGTTGCACCCCTAGACATGATATAGATATATGTAGATTTGAGGAATCGTAACGGTTTATTGGTACTGTAAGAAATTGAGCACTCATTTAAAATTACCAAAAGGTGACATTTTTTTAAAAATAATTTTTTCACATTGCATATCAGAACTATATTATATTATAATATATGTGCGTGGGCATGAGGCCTGCTTGCTCATCTGTTCTTTTTGATAGAACCCAACATTATAGTAGTAATAAGCAACATGTATTTTTTCTATCCTAGGAGTGAGGTATGTGTGGACATGGATAAATTATTCTGTGTGAATACTGGACGGTCCGGAGGTCAACCAAAATATGTCACGTCACCCGATAAGAGTAGTACCCAACATTAGTACTGAGCAAAAAAATAACGTGCTGGTTGGCCTCCAGATGATGTCCAGTGTATGCACAAAATAATTTATCATTGGCATGAGGCATGCTTGCTCATGTGTTATTATACTCTCTACACAAAGTCAAGATATTAATATCTATTCTTTGTGTGAAAAGTATTACCTTAACCTTTATCAACAAAAAATAAGACCAAGTTCATGATTTTGAATGACATTATAGCCAGCCATTCGTGGGCCTCTATCACCAGGGGCGGAACCATTCGGAGGTGAGGGGGGTAATTGCCCCCCCTGAAAAAAAAAAAAAAATTAGAGGAGGGCTATTTTTGTAATTTTGCCCCCCCTCAAATATTTATTTTGCCCTATTGAATCGGGTTTCGCTCTCTCATCCCGCTTCAGCCCTTCTCCTCTCCGAGCTGCGAGCGACTGAGCGAGAGCCGAGAGGCGAGAGATCGTTTTGGAGGCTTCGACGGCGAGTTGCGAGCGAGAGCAGAGAGACCCCCTTCGACGGCGAGCTGCGAGCGAGAGCCGAGACTCGAGAGATCGCCTTCGACGGCGACGGTGGCATTTTTCCTCCGTTTGTTGGTTTCTTCTTCCCGCCTGTCTTCTTCCAGAGGTCTGTTGGTATTCTATTTCGCTGTTTTTTTTTTTTTTTACTTGTAATGTTGTCTGGTTTAATGGTTTTAATTTTTATCATTTTATGCCTAGGTTAATAGTGTTGTTCGGTTTTGCACTTTAGATTCCCGTTAGAAATTTTTTTTACTTGCAATGTTCCTTGATTTTTACTTTTTTTTTTTATTATTAAAGCTTAAGAAAAAAATTAAAATAACATTTTGATTCTTCTTCCCAC